AGTTATAAGATGAATGAGTTCTGGGAAGGTAATGTACAGCATGGTCATTATGGTTAACTTTATTGCATTGTATACATGAATGTTGCTGACAGAGTACATTGTAAATGTTCTTACAATAAAAAGAAATGATAACTTTGTGAAATGATGGATGTGTTCACTAATGTATTCTGGTGATCTTTCACAATGTACATGTATATGAAATCACCAAGTTGTAGGTTAAACTTCCAGAATTTTACATGTCAGTTATTTTTCAATAAAAATGGAAAAAGGAAGGGTAGGGAGATGGGGTATTTGGGTGATGGGCATTAAGGAGGGCACATGATGTGATGAGCACTGGGTGTTATATACAACTGATGAATTATTGAACTCTACATCTGAGACTAATGATGTACTATATGTGGGCTAATTGAATTTAAACTAAAAAAAAACTGGAAAAATGAAGAAAAAATCTCCTATGTCTCTGTCTTCCTCCTTGCATTTCAAATGTCACCTCCTTCCAGCAGAACCCTCTCCATAAAAATAGTGCTAGAATGAAAACCATTATGAATATGTCAATGGAAAGGTCAATCAATAGGAAAACAGTACGTACATAAGGATGCCATGAAGATGGCATCAGTGAGGGGGTGAGGAAAGATGGCGGAGGAGTAGGGGACCCCATTTCAACTGGTCCCTGGAATTGAGCTGGATATCTACCAGACCACTCTGAGCACCCATGAAATCAGCCTGAGATATAAGAAGATCCGGATCTCTACAGAATATCGTGGGTGGTTGGTTTCGAGGTATGAAGCAGGGACCCGTGATTCCGCGGGCAGATATCGGAGGATAAATGGCAGCGGGAGGGAGCCTGGCCGTGGGGATCCTACACCACCGGTGTGCGACAGCCTCGCACGCTTGGGACGGGGCACAGACTCACAGACCAGTAGCAGCGGGGAAAGGACTTTAGGGCAGCCTCTGGGGCGGAAACCCGGAGTGGTGGGGTCGCGCGTGGGAACTGGGAGTGGTTGGCGGTTTTAGAAGCACAAAGGGCAGAGACGTGCCCCAACCTGGAGGCAGAACTGGGGGCACTGTGGAGGGGTACACAACCCAGGATGCTACAGTTTATAGCAGCACGGACAGAAACGGAGACAGTGTGGCCTGGAGAGCTCATTGAAGAACAGACTGCGATCTCTACTCTGAAGCAGAGGGTTGGAAATGGTCTCTTCTGCTCTGACTCGCAGAAGAGACACAGAAAGCCATCAGGGAAAGCCACCAGAGAAAAAAAGCCCCCAAAACTGATTCTCACTGAGCCCATCCCCAACCACAGGGAGGCAGGGCAACTCCCCCCCAAACAGGGTTGCCTGAGTAACAGCGTGGCAGGCCCCTCCCCCAGAAGACAGGCTGGGAAAACAAGAGGCCAACAACTCTAAGGTCCCTAGAAAACAGGTGCATCTTGCTTGGGTTCCGGTCAATAATCTGGACTCTATACATTCCCTCAAACACCCATCAACAGAATGACTAGGAGGAGGAATCCCAAAATAGAAAAGACTCAGAGATTATGACATATGCCGCAGATTTACAAATGGATGCAGATATAACCAAGATGTCGGAGATGGAATTCAGGCTAGCAATTGTGAAGACAATAGCTGGAATAGAGAAATCAATTAATGGCAACATAGAGTCTCTAAGGGCAGAAATGAAAGCTGAACTGGCAGAACTGAAAAATGCTATCAATGAGATCCAATCCAATCTAGATAATCTAGCAGCTAGGGTAAGTGAGGCAGAAGAATGAATAAGCGACCTGGAAGACAATATAATAGATAAAAAGGGAAAAGAGGAGGCCAGGGAAACACAACTCAGAATCCATGAAAATCGAATCAGAGAAATAAGTGACACCATG